AAGAGTTACAGCACAGTTGGAGCAATGGTCACTGTGAAAGGGAAAAATGTGATTGCCTAATTAAGAATTCTGACTGTGCAAGAAGCCAATGTGTCAGTATGGATCAGAATTAATTAATCCTTTACTCCCATTAAATCCTCTGATTGCTGCTGAACATCCTAGATGTATCTTGCTCTGGTGCCAACCAGGCCAGCTCTGCCCATGCACTTCAGCTATGTCTGTGGAAATACAATAGGAACGCAGGTAATCCAGAGGATTAGTAGGCATCACTAGGACTCTGTCCCACTGCTTGGACCAGTTAGTTAGAGGCCTTCCTCCACAGTCCCCAGCAGAAGCCCTTCTGAAGGTCGAAACTCAACACACAGTGTTTCCTACAAGGTTAAACAGTGCAGAATGGGCCACATCAAAAGGTACAAATTTTTAGTTACTTAAAAAAATTTTACATGCAGAAGTCATGCCAGGTTCCTTAGCTCACGTATCGTGACTCTCCACCCACTTCTGCTGCAGTATCCCACAGCATCAGCAGAATTTATTCCTTTGTTTTATTTCTTAATTGCACAGTTTCATCACCTTTCAGATCTTTGTTTGAAACAATAAAGTAAACAGTACAGATTATCCTGTAATTTGGCTCTTCTTTATGCCTAGTAAAACAGATGTCATTAGTTCCTTAAAGCATCAACAACAGGAGAATACCACTGCCTTCTCCATTAAAACACTGAAGAGAGGGATGAAAAATATATTTGTGCATATTGAATGTAATGAACATTAGTATGTATTTTTCAAAATACTACTGTCACATACTTTGTTGCCTGCCTTGAACACAGTGGTTGAACAGTAACAGTAAGAAATCTAACAGGTACTACCATTGCTAATAGCAGTGTTTTCATTTGAAAGGCTTCATCAAGCATCTTCTGGCTTTTGTAGCCTGGTATCCCGAGAAAAGAAGGTTTATACAATCACAGCATCTTGATGTGTATGTATGCACGTGTCTACCTCACCCTAATAAAGTTTGAGCTTGTTGGCAAATTTCACCCTTCATTAACAGAGGGGTTGGAGACCCCATTCGTGCTTTTGCAAGGAAACACAATAGCATAAGCACAAGCTTTCTGATGCAGCTGTGAAGCCACAAAGGGAGGTTTTGAACATCTCAGCCGCAGGAAAGCCTCAACGAGAGCTTCCACCATTGGAAATACCAAAGCCACAATAAACTAAGCTTCCTTTGTTCGACTACTGACATAGAAGTATTTTGGCAAAGAGTAGAAGGGAATTTCAACATTTTCCTGCGATTTCAGGCCGTACATTTTCGCAAGGGGGAGGTTTTCCAAACCATTCAGGTACTGGCCTAACTACACCAAGCAAAGTCTTGCTGGTAACTGTAATGTAAGGAAGTGAGGATGCTGAAAAGTCCACAATAACAGTGTCAGGCATTTTGTGCACTGTCTGATCTACCCCATGCTTATGACAGGCTCTAAGGGAGGAAAGAAAGAAAGCCTAATGACCTGCTCTAAACCACATACACTCACTCCATAGTCACAGGGGGCTTTTCTGATAGGAAAAAAAAAAAAAATCCGGTGGATGCTCATATTTCCGGTCACACATCTTTCTCTCAGGTCTGTAAGAAGTGTGAGGGACATGCTGTGGCAGCATTAGTCACCAGATGGGTGTCCTGAGAAGGGAGGATTCTCAGCTGCTCACATCCACACAGTAACCATCTATCTAGCACCTGTCAGCTGCCCTCCTAGCACGATTCTAGCTGTGTCATAAAGAAGCCACTTATCTTTCTCACATCTTCCATGCCTTAAAAAAAACGGAGACAAGTCAGAGATACTTCAGAAGAACTAATATGCTGTCAAGATCTGTGGTCCCACCTGGGTAAAAACACTTTGCCACACAAAATCTTGAAGACATTTTCATTTGGTTAAACAAAACAAATCAAACCCCCAACAGCTTCAGGAAAAGGTTCAGGCACCGCAATATCCTGTTCTTGGCCATTTCAGAATGGAAACACTTATTTTTTATATCAACTGTTAGGTTTTATTCTGGTTGTATATTGGTGTAAAATTAGCTTGTAGAAAGAAAGGCTTGTCACTTTCCCAGGAGAGTAAAGACAGGCTAGATTGTCTATGACTGGCTGCATTTCCAAAATCATGAGATTAAATCAGCTCTTCTATCAACAATGCTAACAATGCTCTTTCCCATACATAATTGTGACAGGGAAGTCGAATTTCAAATATTTTCACCAAAGGCATTAACCTGACTTTTCTCCTGCCCTGGTTTGACAGATGCTTCAGGAAGAGCTGTTGCTGTAATGACTAGTTAAAGCGAAGACAAATATTACTCTGATGACAGTAAAGGGGATCAGAAGGGAGGAAGAGGGAAAGTATCTTGTCATCTCCATGCTGTTTGTCCCCTTCGTTTCACTATAGGTCCTGCAGTAGTGTTCTCCTGTTGCAGAGTGGCAAGCTCTACTCAGAAGAGATAACAGCACTTGCTGTCTGCAAGGGAAAGCTGCGTGTTGCCTGCTCCACCACTCCCTACGCAAGCAAAGCAGTACCTTTTGTGCTTAACACAAAATGCATAAGGATTTCGCAGGAAATGAGGTATACATATTTAGGAATTTATTAAAAAGCCTGAATAATAATGTAAAAAGCCCCTAATCATACATTCACCAGACGCCTCCAGCAAATTGGAAGACTTATGATACTGAAGGCATTGAGACATGCCCACTGAAAACTGCACTGTGCCTCAGAGTTAATGGTCTAATCCAAAGCTCAATGGAATTTTTCCCGCTCATTCTTACAGGCTCTAGGTCAATTGCCAGCTAAAGTCTAATCCCCAGTATAGCCGAGACAGCCTTCAGTATCATACAAGTCTTCCCCAAACACTCACAGCTGTTTCCAAGTGCACTCTCCAATGTGCAAGCACTAGATTTATTCAGCACTGGAAGGGTGGAAGAGGGAATATTCATTTCTAAGGAGGGAAGGGCAGGGACTGTCACAATTTCAAGCGTAGTCAACTGAGGCTTAGGTATCTGGAGAAATACAGCCAGCCTCCAGCAGATGAATTCTAACAAAATTTCAGCAAATAGGTACATTATTCATGAAGACAAAAGTCTCTGGAGAAACAAACTCAGAGCTGATGTAAAGCAGCTATTTTCATCAATAAACCTGTAGAAGAAACCATCTGCACCAGGTCTATTTAAAACCATCCATTTACAATTTAAAGGCCAAATAACAACCTGTGTGCAGCAATTCTTCTGGGTTTTATGATCGTTCTCCTTTTTCCCTGCTTAAGCAATGTATTTCTGCAAACCTTCTAATTCAGTCTGTCAACAGCTGCCTGTGACAAGGGGAGGGGAAGAGCTTTCAGATTAAACCCCTTCCCTCTTATTTTGCATGTACATTTCTTCAGAATAAAAAGTGGCATCCCTGTTGGGATTTATGCACATACTCCCTGACTGTAATCAAAGAAAATT